TCATCTTTGTTCTTGTTTTGTAGGTCATGGAAATTCTTCGCAGGAAAACTATCCAAGTCAACCTTGTGAGAATCCCTCCTCAACTCAAGGAGCTTACATCCATAATTCCAGAAAGTTCTCTCTTTAGTGAAAGACATGGTAGACTTATCAACCTAGTCAACACCAGCATTGAAGAAGACATGGTGAAAGTGCTGTTCCAGTTCTTTGACCCCCTTCACCACTGTTTCACATTCCCCGACTACCAATTGGTGCCTACTTTGGAGGAATTTTCTCAAATCTTGAGAATTCCTATTCTTAATCAACTACCCTACAACGGTACGGAAAAAGAACCAAAGCCTGAAGATGTTGCTCAAACACTACACTTGCAACCATCTGACATCAAGGGGCATTGGGAAACTGGAAGTGGTGTCAGAGGCTTCTTGGCAAAATTCTTGTTTGAGAAGGCACAAGAGTGTTGGAATTCTTTGGATCTACAAGCCTTTGAAGAGATTGTGGCACTCCTCATTTATGGGTTGGTCCTGTTCCCAAATCCTGACCAACTTATAGACGTGAATGCTGTCAAGATTTTCCTATCTAGGAATCCCATACCTACATTGCTTGGGGACATCCTCCACTCATTTTACACACGAACAATGAGGAAGAGAGGTGTTCTCATGTGCTGTACTCCTCTCCTTGCAAGGTGGTTTATTTCTCACCTTCCACAATCTATTTTGAAGAATGAGCAAGATTCAAGGTGGTCGCAACGATTGATGACCCTCACACATTCTGATGTACATTGGTGTTCTCGGTCCAGAGAAAATGTCATCATCATCGATTGCTGTGGTGAGTTCCCTAATGTTCCATTACTTGGCATTAGGGGAGGCATTACCTACAACCCCTGTCTGGCTTTAAGACAATTTGGATACGCTCGGAGGGATGGCCCTCATGACATGCTGATTCCTGACCTAGTTTTTGACTTTGACAACGATGCACAAGGACTTCGCCAAAGATTCATCAGAGCTTGGAGGATGCCCAACAAGGTAGATAGTAAGACACTGGGGCATAAGAACTCCATCCCACTTGAGCATTACCTCAAGTGAGTACGAACCCGCGCCCAGAGTCTTATGATGCCTTACCCTCACATTCTCCCTTTGATCAAAGAGCCTGTTAAGGAAGGAGAGGTTCCATACACCATCCTACATCCTGACATGCCAACATCATGGGAGGAAATGCAGAAGAGTTGGATCCAACTCAAGGAAGAAAGGGATACTTTTGAAGCCAGCTTCTACGCCAGTGAGAAGAAGGTTTTGGAGCTTACCCGCCGACTTCACGAGGAGGAGACCCTAAACACTTACATCGCACCAAAGAGGATGCGCAACGTCTTTTTACCTTAAGAAGTTTTTGTAATATTGGGCCCATGGGGCATTTATGTACTGACAAAATTTCTTCTTATTAATATGACGTGTGTTCTTTTTGTCTGCAACAACTTTGAATTTCTAAATCCTTGAATGCATTACATGAATAAACATATCATTCATCATATGCATAAACAGGTCTTCACACCAGGTTTCCTTATCTTTCTGCTATTTATTTCAGTAAGATGGATATTGAGCAGACGGTCAGAGATCTGCAGTCACAAAACTCGCAGTTTCAACAGCTCCTTATGACCTTGGTAAAGGGTCAGGAGGATCTTAAAGCACTGTTAGGGAACAAAGAGCAAGAAAAAGGAAAAAAGAAGAAGAAAAGAGTTGGGGTAGCTACACTGGGAAGAATATTTGAGAATGAAGCTAGGAGAGTTCTTGAATTCCCCTCCACATCTGATGAGGGGACCGGTAAGGTAAAAGGGGTTGCATTACCTTCTGAATCTGAGGCTGAAGAGGAAGAGGTTGAGGAAGATGAAGATTATTCAGAGCAGCAATACCCGCCAGCGGACGGCAAATACAAAAACCTGGAGGATAGACTGGCAGCTATGGAGCTGCAAAGGGTTCCCGGGTTAGATTTTGAAGAATTGGGATTGATTGCTGGGATTGTGATCCCTCCAAAGTCTGTCTTTCCCAAAGATGCACCTGAGGTCGTATGTCAGAAAAATTCAACCTTATTCATCCGATAGAAATCTTTGGGTACACTTCTTCCAGGACAGCCTGTCCGGTACACAGCTAGATTGGTTTTACCAGCTTGAGAGGTCAGAAGTGCATAGTTGGGAGGATTTGGAAGCTGCCTTTTACCGCCAGTATCAATATAATGCTGACTTGGCACCGACCCGTACTCAGTTACAAAGTATGGGGATGGTCTCAAATGAGGGATTCAAAGAATACGCCCAAAAATGGCGCGACTTGGCCGGAAGGGTGCAACCACCGCTTTCAGATAGGGAGCTAGTTGATATGTTCTTGGGGACCCTATCTGGACCTTTCTTCAACCATTTGATCGGGAGCTCTTCTGCAGGGTTTACCAAACTGATTCTGACTGGCGAACGGGTGGAAGTTGGTATTAAGAGTGGGAAAATTCAAAGGGATGCCTCTGCCTCCACAACTGTTAAAAAACCATTCCCGGCCAAGAAGGAAGCGGCTGTTATATACTCTCAGAAAGGATCAGGAAGAACTGAGCGCCGACCGACTGTAGGGGCCGTGATGATTCAAAATTCGTCAAATGACCAGCCTCGCAACAATCAGTCTAGACCTAAGCAGCAATGGGGAGAACAGCCACAACGAAAGTTCACCCGCATCAACATGACGCCCGCACAAGTTCTTCCCCATTTGTTGAAGCTGAATCTCACCAATATCAAAGAGGCGCCAAAGAATGTGAACACCACTTCCCCACATTATCATCCCAACGCAAAATGTGCCTATCATTCTGACAGCGCCGGGCATGACACCAACGATTACTGGGCGCTTAAGAATAAAATTCAAGATTTGATAGATTCTAAAGAGGTTGAGTTCGATGCCCCTGAGAAGCCGAATGTAATCTCCGCTCCCATGCCAAAGCATGGTCGCAATGTCCATGTTGTTGAAGAAGATCTATTTGTTTCTACTGTTGATGATCTGATAACTTCACTACAGACAATCAAGTTGAATCTGTTGAAGGCTGGGATTTTCCCAGGATGTAAAGAAGATTGCTACCTTTGTTCCTCCCTACCAATCGACTGTCCATTGCTGAAGATAGGCATCCAACGCCTAATGGACAACCAACAAATTCTTTTCGAAAAGACTCCTGTTACTCCAACTCCTATCAATGAAGTTTCAATAATAACCATTTCCGCCAATCTTTCCAAGGTCCCCAAAAGGCCTGTTAAGATTACATCCGCTCCGAAGACTGTACCGTTGAAGATAACCATGCCTGGGCCCGTCCCATATGAAACAACCGGCTGAAAATCATCAAACAATGAAGTCGCCATCGAACGTCTTTTATCCCACATGTAGGGAAAGGTAAACATCGAGAAAACCTGATGAGGGAGAAGTCACGGTCTTGCGACCGAGAGATCGGGTAAGGGAGTCTGTTATGCAAGGGGAAGGTATTAGCACCCCACACGCCCGTAGTACTCTACGGTATCCACTCTTGTTGTCTATCTTATGGGTGTGTTTAATCTATGCTTACTGTTTACTATACTACTGGAGGAATGCATGCAAAATAAAGGAGAAAAGAATGTAGGGAAAATAAAATTGTGCTCGCCTGGGCCCTACCCCAATGCCTACGTATCCTTTTTGAGGAATCAGAGCTACCGTAGTTCGGCTCACATTTTTTGTTTGTTTGTGTTTTTTATGGACGAAGTTAATCCCGCCTTCTGCCGCAGCTCGACCTTTGGAGACTTATGCGTTGGCACAGAAGTAGATTAATCGTGTCCTTACCTGAAAAGGTTTTTTTTAATGAAATGGTGCTCAAGCGCACAAAAGATTTGATTTTGTTCTGTATTTTTGTTGTAGATGATGACTGATTGACCTCAAGAGAGAGATATTAGCCATTCTTCTACTTAGTCATGAAAGGAGTCTTTGAGAATTGAACCACACCTATGCTTGAGATGAAGGACAATAAGATCGAGAAGAGACTCGCTTATCATTTCCCGCACTAAGCAAAAGCATGATTCTCATCAATAGTTTTAAAGTATTTTTGAATTTTTTGAAAGAAAAGAAGTTTTAGTTTTAGGTGCGTATGTTCAAAGAGAAAGGAAAGTCAAATGGGACTAACTTACTTCTAAACCTGATGTTATCATGCGTTAGACCTAAAGTTAGAATTTTGAAGGTATTATACCTAATGTTAGCATGTTTGAATTTGAAAGCCTAATGTCTAATTTTAGTTCAATTAAATCGAAGATTAAATTTGAACCAAAATCTCCTAAGGAATCATGAAATAATATACGAACAAGTAAAATTAGGCAGCAAGTATCAAAATATCGCATACAATCCATAAAAATTGCAAGCGGAACAGATGACATAAAAATGAGTAAAACTAATGATTAAAATTGAAAAGAAAAAGTGAGAGAATTGAAAAGAAATCTCTTTTATTTACCAATATTGCTAAAGAAAATAAATCGCCAAAATTAATGGCAAACGCAATCGAAATAAGTATCGAAAATAAGACCCTAGGAGGTGCAAGCTGGATTTAATGTGTGCTGCAAAAAATAGAATGACATTAGGCCCATCAAGATAAACCCAAAAGAAAATGTTTTTTTAATAGTAAATAAACCAAAAAGCAGCCAGAGAAAAAAAATATTGGGCCCAGGAATCGATTGGTTTGGTCCATTCCATCACTAATTCCTCTTATAACAAAAACTCATATTTTTTTTGGTATTATTTCAGCATATTATTATTATTAAATAAAAATATAAAATAATAAAACAATTATATTATTTCAGCATGTTATTATTATTAAACAAAAATATAAAATAATAAAACAATTAAATTAAATCAGCATGTTATTATTATTAAACAAAAATATAAAATAATAAAACAATTAAATTAAATGAAAGAAAGCATATGAAATTGGAAAAGGGTTAGGGTTAGAGAAAAGAATGTTTCGTCCTCTCCTTCATGAACGGAATCGGCGCCGCCGGTCTTCTCGTCCTCGCGTTGCCGTCTCATTCTCTCTTCTCCTCATCACCGGCGCGGCCTCTTCTCTTCGCTTACGGCGGCGGAAGCTCACAGTCTCCCATCTCTTCTCTCGGATTTGACGCAGACGCAGCGGCGCTATCTCCATATACTCTTCTTCTCCGATCAACAAAATATAGTGTCGCTGCGAACACCACCTTCTCATGTCTGTCCCAACCTCTCTTTAACTTGAGGGAAGAGACCCCAACGCTTTGCAGAACTTAAACAAACACAAAGGCAATCACAGGGAGAAAGTGTTTGAAGAGGATGAGATTTACCAATTGGAGATCGATCTGGCGCGTCTACGACAGCGATAACAGAAAATCAATGTCTCGGGTATGTATCTCTAATTTCTCTCTGCAACTGCGTTTTCTTTTTCTTCTTTTCTTCTTGATTTTGTGATGTTGAAGCTCTGCATGCGATTTTCGCAGTTTCGTCGAAGTGGAAAATTACAGAACCTTGTATTGCGACATGTGGAATGAAGATGATGTGAAGAACGAGAGATTAATGGTGATGATTGCAGACAAAGATGAAAGATGATTTTTGATGGTAGTTGAAGTCGTATTTGCTGTGATGTGATGAAGAAGATGCAGAGATACAATGTGAGGTTTGGAGAAAGAATGAGGTTGAGGCTTAGAGAGTGAGAGAGTTTGAAGGTGACAGTTCTTTTGCAGATTCTAGAGTGAGATGATTGAGAGGTAATAATCTTTTTCTGTGTTGAAATTCCTCTATCTATTCTGTCCATCCCTATGCATATGCTGTGTACTCTATTTATATATGCTGGAAGTTTGTTATGGTTTGTTAAGTTAGTTAGGATTTGGGAAGTGGGAAGTTGGTTATAGTTAGAAGTTCTGTTAGGATAATGTTAGAAATTCTGTTAGTTGGTTATAGAAAACAGTCGCAGGAAGTTGGTTGGGGAATTATGACTTTGGTTAGGAAGCTGAGATGCAGTTAAGAATTTGTTACTAGTTAAGTTAGTTTGGATCTGGTTAGAAAGTTAAGAAAAGTTGTTAGGTTGTAGTTATTATGATAGCTGGAGTTCGATTTCAGTTTCAGTTATAGGGTAGTTGTAAACTGTGAGAATTTCTGTTAAGGGGATTTGGTTAGTTTGCAGGTTAGTTCATCAATTTGAGCCAACTGAGAAAGGGGTTAGCAAACACCAGCAAAAACTAGTGGTTGGTGGAAACTTGGGTTAAGCCATATAAAAAACTGTTGGTGAAGTTTATAGTTATGTAAAAGAAACTAGTTAGTAGATTGGATTGAATATTGACGCTTGAAAATAGGGTGGACTGCGGATGATATATATGTTCTTTGATTTACTACCCTTGTTTTGTATGGCTGAATTTCGATGCACGTGAACTTGTTTTGTATGGACTCATTTTGCATTTATTTCGAACTTGATCCCGGTGCTGAACTATAGCATGGATTGAAGTGCATCAGTGATGGTTTGTTTTTCCTTTTCTTGCTTTGGATACTTGAATTGGTTGTTTCCCTTTTGGATTGTTTATTGGACTGGAGTGATTTAACCGCGAAATCTCGGTTGTTGCAGGTTTACTTTTGAACTATTAAATTGGTTTTGATGTTCAGATTCGTTTTTTTTTATAAATAAAAATATGGTTTATGTAGGTTTGGTTCATATCAGGGCTATTGGGAAGCAAAGGCAAAAGGAAAACACCAAGATGATATGAAGTTGGAACAAAGACGCATAACACGAAGTTTTGGAAACTTTAAGTTTAAAACATGAAGAATGATTGAAAATTAGGATAGGTTTTGGTAAAAACGTATAGATGTTATGTATAATTGTAATGGAATTTGGACTCGTATGTATTTGAATAATTGTAATGTATGTTTACTTTATTTCCACATAATGAAATGGCCTTTGTATGAATTCAAATAAATGGTATGAATCCAAAATATTTGCAAGGTAACCAAAAGAGACATGAATCTTGAATGAATCCAAGAGAGGCTATTCGGACAATATTTTGATGGTTGGATGAATTTGATGCATGCTTTTTCATACTTGTGGTTTGAATTCCAAGAAAAGCCACGCAAATATTTAAGGACTTTGATTTTCTCCAAATCCACTTCAAATATTAATGAATGAATTCTAATCAAACTACAACTTCAGTGAATCCCTAATTCAATCCAATTTTCCGATCTAAACCAAACTTGTGTGTCAAGTAACAAGCATTTGAAATATGACACCTTGATCATAATCAACATCTTGTACCATGTCCCGACTATATGAGCGCTAGAACAACGACGTCTTAGACCCCTTCTCAATAGATGATAATGACTATGCCCCTGAGGAATTCTTTGCAGATGAATATGGAAGATGAGACATGTGAATACCTTGATATGGAATGAACCTCAGGTAGAATGCCGACAAGCTCAAATATGAAAAAGTATAAACCCTGATTTTTAGCTTCGTCTCATAAAACCTTGCAACTTGACATTGGGAGGAAAAGAATAGCATTGTAGCTTGATGATGATAAGGTCCATGAAATGAAAACCTAGCTTCAAACAGATTATTAATGGAGAAATCAACCTAAACAAGCTTGTGCGAAGATGGGAGCCTTAAAGCCATACACCAACCCTTATTCCTCGAAATCCATGATCTTATGCCAATTTATTGATTAATGATGCATGATGTGTTAGATGACCTAATGTGAGAAAAATGCAAAAATGCGTAAGCCAGATAGGAAGTAAAAGGGTTGGACAAATTTGGGGTATTACAGCTGCCCCTATTTAATTGTCTTAAACCTGAAAGTACGATTGGCACATGCCTTTCGGAAGTTCAAGGTTGAAGATGATTAAATATCAATGCCAAAAATTTGTCCTAAGAGAGAGAGTGAGTGTTTTCTTTATTTATTTTTGTGTTATCTGTTGGGGAAGAGAAATTTGTTTTTTCAATGAAGAGACAAAGATTGGACTTGTAACGTGGCGTGATGCCAATACAAGACAAATGGTTGGTATGAAAAGACAGCGGACGAGGTCTACGGGCGACCTACGATCCCAAGGTGATACATGAGAGTGATTTGACAGAGAACCTAGCCAAAGGGCGATCTCAGGTTCGACGAAGGTTTGAAGGAAGAACCTAGCCAAGAGGCGATCTCAGGTTCGACGATGACTTTAGGAAGGAACCTAGCCAAGAGGCGATCTCAGGTTCGACGATGATTTGAAGGAAGAACCTAGCCAAGAGGCGATCTCAGGTTCGACAAAGATTTGAAGGAAGAACCTAGCCAAGAGGCGATCTCAGGTTCGACGATGATTTGAGGGAAGAACCTAGCCAAGATGCGATCTCAGGTTCGACAAAGATTTGAAGGAAGAACCTGGCCAAGAGGCGATCTCAGGTTCGACGATGATTTGACGGAAGAACCTAGCCAAGAGGCAATCTCAGGTTCGACAAAGATTTGAAGGAAGAACCTGGCCAAGAGGCGATCTCAGGTTCGACAAAGATTTGAAGGAAGAACCTAGCCAAGAGGCGATCTCAGGTTCGACAAAGGTTTGAAGGAAGAACCTAGCCAAGAGGCGATCTCAGGTTCAACAAAGATTTGAAGGAAGAACCTAGCCAAGAGGCGATCTCAGGTTCGACGATGATTTGAAGGAAGAACCTATCCAAGAGGCGATCTCAGGTTCGACAAAGGTTTGAAGGAAGAACCTAGCCAAGAGGCGATCTCAGGTTCGACGATGATTTGAGGGAAGAACCTAGCCAAGAGGCGATCTCAGGTTCGACGATGATTTGAAGGAAGAACCTAGCCAAGAGGCGATCTCAGGTTCGACAAAGGTTTGAAGGAAGAACCTAGCCAAGAGGCGATCTTAGGTTCGACGAAGGGAACATGGGTTATAACATGATGATTGTTTTAGATAAGCGACACGGACGAGCATCAAGAAAGTTTAAACACGGACGAGTGTTTGAATAACTGACCCGGGTGGGTGTTTAGGAAACTTGACACATACGAGTGCTTAGGAATGGATACTGACGAGTGTTTAGGGAACCTACTACCAGACAAGAACTGGGTTTAGAATGGAAAAGTGTATTGATTTTGTTTGGCATTGAAAAGGTGAAGGTCACCGACTGGGGACTTCGGGCATGATACCCTTCTGTAGGGATGTATTGTTGTCCTTGAATGATTCAGGTCTTTCGTGTAAGGTACCTGGTCTGGCTTATGCTTTGTATGCATGTTTGAATTTCTTTTGACGCAGAGATCCATTCTGATGGATCAGCTACGCGCTTTTGAGGATGCAATGTTATGTAATGATAATTATATGCAATGCGAAGAAATAAACTTCATGGGGATAAGAGAAGGTTTGCTGGGAGCCATTACTCATCACTGGGGATGCCAATATATATCGACGCTGGAAGTCTGCAGTACCAAAGATTGTTGGGGATACTGACAAAAATTTGCCCTGGGGAGCTCTTGAAGACCAAAGATCGTTGATGACTCTGCTGAAGATTGAATTGCTGACGAAGCGAGTCTTTAGGTACACTGCTGGATTCTGAATCGTACCGTTGGGAAGGGATAACCTGGCCGGACTTCCAAACATCCTGAACTGTTGAGGGGATGATAGAAGTGAATATGCCAGATAATGGATATTGAACACCATGTGGACCTCTTTGAATACCTGCCCCAAGTTTACGCATATTGGGGAATTGTCTCTTGAATCACTTGGGGGATAAGAGATGGACACTCACGAGTGCCCCGGTTGAAATCTGCAAATGCCCCGGTTTAGCTCTGTGAATGCCCCGGTTCAGCTCTGCGAATGCCCCGGTTTAGATTCATTGGGGATGTTCTTGATTAGCTCCGCTGAGGATGCACTTACGCGTGTTGAGTCAAAAGACGATTCTGAACTTTCTGAATGCACTTGGGGAATCAGATTTGAAATTGTCTGTAGCAAATGAAGGCAGCTTCATGTGCTGTCAAAGTCAGGGTGACTGTTATGATGCTTTTAGCTGATTGTAGTGGTTTCGCGCAACATAATTGGCTTGAGCAACTTTGCAAGTACAAATGAGGAATGCCCCTGTCTGGATGATCTCTGAGAAGCTTCATGTTGAATAGAAGACCAGAATATTCGTACCACAAAACGATATGAGGTGGCCTGCCCCAATGTCTTGAGTCACGAAGTAAATTGCTCTTGATTACAGCCTTCTTGGAGAGATTTGTCGAATCTCTACGTAACTGCCCCAGGTTGAATGAATTCTGAATAAATCTCTCGACGTGATAGCCTCTGATTGATCGAGCTTGAAGAGATTTATCGACGTGATAGCCTCTGATTGATCGAGCTTGAAGAGATTTATCGACGTGATAGCCTCTGATTGACAGCTTTGAGGGAATGCCTCAGATTTGGCTAAACTTGGAGAGATCGACTCTTGACTTGATTGCCCCAGATTGGCAGGCTCTGCTGACTTTATCCCTGAATGGTACTCAGACTGTGAATCACCAAGATGATTTCTTTTGACATAATCACCAGTTAACATGCTGCTGGATAAGTCATTTCTCTTGTGGCAGCTGATTCTTGCTTCAACAGGGTATTCGAGCCTCTCTTCTCTGAAAAGATTGAGCTCTTTACCGGTTGTTCATTGTGTAAACTTACTTGATGTCAATCAGTTGTTTTGTATGCAGAAGAATGTTTATTATGAGAATGATAATTCTAATGCAACACATATGTAAGTCTTGAAGTTTGAAAAAACTTTGAATGAAATGACGTCACAACTCTGTCGTGAACAAGTCACTAGCTAGAGAGAAACATTTGCAAATTCCTTTTTATGAAATATAATGCAAGCATATGATGCCAACATAGATATTCAAACATACCTCTTAGGAGTCAGTTAAACGCTATCTCGTTGTAGCACGCTTTTGAATTGACCCATGCTCCAGTTAGGACTTTTATGGGTTGTAACGTGGTCTGGTTCACGGTTTTTAGAAAAAAGGATTTAAGGCTCAAAATTATTTGGTTCCCACCCATTCTCCATGATGTTCTCCATTCCTACGTTCAGTTGACCTGATATAAGCGTTCATCTCTCGAGAAGAGTTTGCAATAATTGAGGAACCACAGTGGTTTCTTGGACACGACAGTCACTAACTTCTTTGCCTTTGGTGTCTGATCAGACGACTTTGTTCCTTGATGAGGATTTTCGTTGGTAATCCTTTTCTCGCCTTTTAGGCTTTTCAATTTCTTCTTGCTTTCCCTAATTTTTGCCTGGACATATTCTTTTGAATTTCGATTTGGAAGTCCAGCGGGATGCCCCAATTTTTTGCCTAAGCGACTTGTTTTCAAGTTTCGACTTAGCGGGGATTTTTGTTTCTTTCTTATTCATATTTTTCATTTTTAACAAGTCGTTGATCTTTGCGTTGTTTTTGATCTGTTGGAAGTGATCGTGACTGCCTGAGTCTTTGATAGACGAGGGATAGCCATTGTTGTATTGTCATATGTCGACCTCCTGGTGTGCGAGAGATACCCATTAGGATATCGTTAGATAGATGCACGTTGTTGTTAGATGAGGGTTAACCATTGTGGTTTTGAATTTTCTCAACCTTTTGATGGATAACCATTGTTGTATCCTTGGATGCACACTCTTGATGAGTTCTGAATGCTTAAACAGATTAGCTGAACACTACCCGCCCCAAGGTTGAAATGAGGGTTTTTTCTGAACAGAAAAGAAACTCCTACTTCGAAGGCTC